TGTAAGTATGCATGTATGCATGCATGCATTGGATGGAGGTGTCGAGTGCTCGGTGCCAAGCGCAGCACACAGACTCAGACACTCACCCCACACAGCTCAAGGCCGCAAAGCCACCCAGACCTATCCGTTTTAGAGTGTAGTCCTAAGCTCATGGGACGGTTCAAGCTGCAAGCTTTCTCAACAAACCATGTCTTAGAGAAGTTGTACATCGTCGCCACAGTCTGGTAACTTCCAAAACTCCGAATCTCCCGGCCTTCACGGCAGCTACTCAGTCATAGTGGTACGAGGGATTCCAGAAACAGTCATAAGAAGGAGGCTCTTATGGCCAGCATGACCGTGATAGCAAGCCCTGACCCTTATCGCTGCGAAGTCGATTCCTGGTTAAGCAACTCTCCAAAGGCCGTCAATCAGGTTTCAAGATCCCAGGAAGAGCGTCCTTCAACACCCTTACAAGCCCTCCAAGGACCCTTAAGGAACAGTTTTGTAAAGCACCGAAGTGCTCTAAACCCTGAAACCCTGAAACCCTAAACCCCAAGCCTTAAACCCTGAAACCCTGAAACCCTGGAACCCTAAACCCTCAGCCGTAAACCCTGAAACCCTGAAATCCTGAAGCCCTAAACCCCAGTGTCTGTAGGATGTCACCGACCCGGGCCTCGAGGGAGGCGGTGGAGGGGACATGATGCCCCTCTGCTCCGGTTAAGAGGGGGGATTTTGGGCCCTTGCTGGGGAATTCGTGCGCGTGTGTGTGTGTGTGTGTCTGTCTGTCTGTCTGTACGCATGTAACACCAAATGCCTAACGCTGCAGCCATAGTCCTAAACGCCCAAAGAAAACCCTCCATAGTCCTGAGGCCCCAAACCTCAAATTCAATGCGGAAGGCCTTGCTTTGCCTTCCCATGAAGCCAGGGTGTAGGGTTTAGGGAAGGACCAGCCACAACCATTCCGAGCCTCCTAGGCCTACGGCTCCTATCCTATAGCGCCTTTTCAGGGGCCTTTGCGACAGTCGTAGAGTTGGCACCTCCATTTCGGGGGGGCTCTGGGTTTTTACCCTAAACCCTAAACCTTATAAGGCTTACAGGTCCTCGTAGCCAGTCGCGGAGCGAAGCAGTGGTCCCAAAAGCCAGCATAAGAGACGATAGCGAGCAACATCTGGTCCAGAGCCCGGTGAGTCAAAGCGAGAACATCAACTACACTCCACACCCCAAAACCTTACACCCAAAACCCTAACTTGGAAACCCCAAACCCCAAACCCGAACCCCTAAACCCTACATCCTAAGCCCTAAACCCTAACCCCTAAACCCTACATCCTAAACCCTAAACCCGAACCCCTAAACCCTAAACCCTACATCCTAAACCCAAAACCCTAAATCTTAAACCCTAAAACCGCAAACCCTGAACCCCAAACCCTAACTTTGAACCCCGAGTCCCCCCAGGCCCCAAACCCTAAGCCTTGAGCTCAGGTCGAAGGTCGGACCCATGGCAGGCAGGGTTTAGGGCCTAGGGTTACCTCTTAGGGTTTAGGGCTCTTCGGGTTGAGGGTTACCTCTTAGGGTTTAGGGTTCACTCTTCGGGTTTAGGGTTCCTTCTTCGGGTTTAGGGTTTAGTGCTAGGGCTCTGAGCTTTTGAGAGCCTCAAACCAGGGCGGGTTTTGGGACACGGGCTTGGGATTTGGGGTTGAAGGGCCTTGGAGTTGGGTTTACCTACAAGAAGCGACGGGTGATCGGGAGCTCGCATATCAGATCTTGGGATTAGCTTAGCACTTAGCATTTATACACCAGAGTTTGGAATTTGTGGTGTCTGGATGTGAGTTCAGAGCATCCGTGCAGTTGTGTGCAGGGCCGAGTTCAGGGCCCCAACTCCTAGTAGAAGCCTGAATGATTGGTAATACAATTCTTTGGGGGTTTTGTGTTTTATGTATACTATAATTAGATTCCACTCCCCAAAACCGTGTCGACTTTGGTGGAGTTTCTAGCATCTGCGCTTTGGAACGTGCTCTTTGAAGGTATCCAGACGTGCTATACGTGTCTTTGGCGGTGGCGTTTGCACGGAATCGTTTCATGTTATTATTTCGAACCATCAGCTTTGGAAGATAAGCCTTGCGAAGTAGTGAAACAGCGGGAATGACTCAAGATCAGGGACCTCTTGCATGGAAAACAAGGAGGCCTGAAGTTCTGTGCTCCGTTCTCCTGGAATGAGGTCTAAACTCTGAACACCCTAAACCCTAAACACCCTAAAACCCTTAACCCTAAACCCTTAACCCTAAACCCTAAACCTAACGTAGACCTCCTGTGCGCAGAGCCCAAACCTCCAACAGCTGTTCCCAAGCATCTGGACCTGCACACTCGGAACTCCACCTAAATAATTAGCTACGCTATTTTGGGGGGTGCCCATTCTCATTACATGTTTAACCCCAAAGCCCTATTCCAAGTATGAAGGCCCCTACATTAAGCCTCGCAACATTCCCAATGCCCAGAAGACAAATCGACCCTGAGCCCTCAAGCCTGACTCAACCCGACACCACTGGACCCTAGCTGCCCCCAACTCCTAAACACTAAACCCTAAACCCCAACTCCTAAACCCCAAATCCTAAACCCTAACCCCTAAATCCTAAAGCCTATAAACCCTAAACCCTCATCCCTAAACCCTAAATCCCAAACCCTAAACCCCAAATCCTAAACCGTCCCTGAAGGTGGTAGCAACAATGAGCCGTTGAAGTGGCAGATCGACAGTGGAGCCGGCTTCCTTCGCGATGCCGTGCCTGGAGAGTGTCCTGGCAGGGTATATTCTAGAGGGTGCAGGTTTAGAGTTTAGGATTTAGGGTTTAGGGTTTGGGGTTTAGGGTTTAGGGTTTGGGGTTTAGGGTTTAGATTTTAGGATTTAGGGCTTGGGGGTTTGGGGTTTAAAATTTGGGGGTTAGGGGTTAGGAGTGTAGGGTTTGGGGTTTATGTGTATGTAGCATATGTACATGTATGTATGCCACATACATGCATACATACATACAGACATACATACATACAGCCAGACAGGCAGACAGACAGACACACACAGACATACAGACATACGGACATACGGACATACGGACATACGTACATACGTACATACATACATACATACATACATACATACCCCCGACTGCCACCACCACAACAACCACCACCACCGTCGCCGTCGTCGTCGCCTCTCCGTTGCCGCCGCCACCACCACCGCCACCACCACCCCCACCACCACCACCACCACCCCCACCACCACCACCACCACCAACCATCCCTACTGAGAGTTCGCCAGAGTTTTCAGATTTCCAGACTTTTCATGTCCAGATTTCCAGCCTGTCTTGTAGTTGTTCCAGAGTGCAGCCTCTGCGTTCCGAGATTTCTGCAAACAGCGAAACCTTTCGAATTTGTTACAGAGGCTGGCAGCCTGGATCTGTAGCTGGGGTCAGGGATCACAGGCATGTTTTCGGTAGGGTGGGGTGTCCCAAAGTAAATTGGACTTTGCGCAGTGGAATAGGTCGGCGAGGCCGTTGCTAGCTCTGATTTAGATATCAGCAGGCTTGCAGAGAGAATGAGCTTCGGGTAGTGGCTTGGCTTGAGATTGTACCGGTATGCTCGGTGAAGAGCGGAGATGATGATCATGAAACACTTGGAGAAAGAGGCCCTTGAAACTAACATCCAAGAACCGTAAACCCGAAACCCTGCGGATAAACCCTGGACCTTGGAAGTCCGATCCTCCACAAAGGGGCGGCGGTGGCCTGCTGGATTCCGGGATGTCGCTAGCGAAGGCCTGCCTTTATAGTTGTTGGCATGGGACGACCAAACCTGAAACCCTAAGCCCTAAGCCCTAGAATCCCCAAACCCTGAACCCTGAACCCTATAACCCCCAAAACCTAAAAGCCCTATAATCCCTAAACCCTAAACCCGAAACCCTAAGCCCCGAGCCCTATACCCTAGACCCTAAACCCTAAACTGTATAAGGTTTTAGGGTTTAGGGGTTTAGGGTTTAGAGTTTAGGGCTTAGGGTTTAGACCCTTCAAAAATCAAAGTCGCTCAGGGCCTCCTGTCGAAGAAGTCGCTGGGGAAGACCGGGAAGGCCATAGGCGGCATGCTGGGTCTGGGTGGAGGGGGAGGCGGCGGCGGAGACCCACCGAAGGCTGGGGTGCGAAAAAGCGGGGGCTTTTTGGGGAGATTCAAGAGGGGTTTTAGGAGGTTTAGGGTTTAGGGTTGAGGAGTTTAGGGGTTTACGGTTTAGGGTTTGGGGAGATTCATGGGCTTTAATATAGAGGCCTAAATAATCACCAACAGTATTCCCCAGGGCTCCTTGTTATAATTCCACTCTAGAGGAGCCCAAAACCCTATTCTAATTATTAAAGCCCCTACATTAGGAGTAGGGGTGTACAACAAGTTTAAGGGTTTAGGGGGTGAAAAATTGGAATGCTAAAGCTTCAGGGGTTTGGGGGTTTAAGGGTTTCGGTCCAAAGACACATCGATCGAAGTCAGGGCTGGTCTGCATCAGTATGCCTTGCTGCTGTAGGGCCCGCCCCAGGGTTTGGGGTTTAGTGTTCAGGGGTTTAGGGTTTAGGGTTTCTACCCGCACTGGTGGGCGTGGGTCTTGCAGTTTGAATCTTGCAAGATGTCTCGGTGCATGTGTGATACATCGCACCCTCCTTAAGAGCAATAAGAACCCTCAGCCCTAAACCCTAATCCGTGCCCACGACCCTGTGATTAGAGTCGGCCGTAGAGCTACATAGAGGAGCTCCGACAGGTTGACAAGCCCAAAGAGCCGGCAATGCTAGTCACCGGTTGTGGTTTAGGGTTTAGGGTTTAGGGTTTAGGTACACTATCGTAGCAATGGCGCTAGCCAGTAGGAGATGTGACTCACGGTTTAGGGTTTAGGGTGATGTGACTGTTGCTGAACTTCCCGGCTTTCGTCGCAGCCACCAGCATTCAGCTTCGCCTGTGGTCCAGCTTTCCGCGTTCTGTAAAGTACGTACCCCCTCGACGCCACAATGGTGCTTGGGGCTATGGTGATGGCTGTGGCTGCAAGCCTTGCTCAGGGGTGTTCAAGGGCAGTCTACGAGGATGCCGCCGGTCACTTCTACACCGGGCGCACGATGGATTGGACGGAGCCCACGAAGGCGAAAATCTGGGCCTTTCCCAAGGGCATGAAGAGAGACGGGGGTGTGGGTCCCGGTTCGCTGGAGTGGACCTCGAAGTGGAGCTCAGTGGTGACATCAATGTACGATATCGCCTCCGTGGATGGCATGAATGAAAAGGGGCTGGTCGGCAGCATGCTTTACTTGGTTGAGACGGATTATGGGAACGAACACCGTGGTGATCAGAAGAAACTCTCCGTTGGCGCCTGGATGCAGTACGTGCTGGACTCCTTTGCCACTGTTCCTGAAGCAGTGTCTGCCTTGCAGTCGGATGCCTTGAACATCATCGCACCAGATCTTCCCAGTGGAGACGCTTGCGCTGCGCACCTTGCCCTTTCAGATGCCTCAAATGGCTCTGCAATCTTCGAGTACATTGCCGGCCGCCTCGTCATTCACAATGGCTCCCAATACAAAGTGATGACAAACTCGCCACCATATGACCAGCAGCTAGCACTGACAGCATATTGGGAAGGAGTTGGGGGGAATCTAGGTGGCACTTTGGGAAGCTTTCTAATTTGTCATACGGCTCTTAGAGGTACCTATCTATAAATACGTTTAAGGGCCCCATTCCTACAACCCAGGAATACTTTCCTCCCTGGAACTCATCGGGCGGCCGACCGCTTCGCACGTTTGAGTTTCAACCTGCATGCGGTTCCTAAAGTGACCTAGGCTGGTGTAGCCATTTCCCATTTTTCCTTCCAGAGAGTTTGGTTTTTGCATGAGGCGAGCTAGCACAGTGTGATGCAAGACGGCTCATGCGTAGCTCAGGCCAACACTCCCGAGGTGGCAGTGGCCACTGCCTTCTCCCTCGTACGATCCTAGGTGGCGCTTCGGGAAACTTCACAAATTTCTCTACGGTTCTTATCGAGGTACCTATCTTAAAATACTTCTAAGGGCCCCAAAACTACACCCTAAACCCTAAACCCTCAACCCTAAACCCTAAACCAACCCTAAACCCTAAACCCTAAACCCTCAACCCTAAACCCTAAACCAACCCTAAACCCTAAACCCTACAACCCAGGATCCATCTCCGTGCCGTTGGGTCTGGCAGATCCTCACCACCCGAACTTGGCCTCCACAAGGTCCCCAGGAGACAGAACTTCCAGGAGGGTAGTTCTCTAAGTTAGGGTCCCTTTTAGGGTTCCTTATTATGGGTTTAGGGTTTAGGGTAGTTCTCTAAGTTAGGGTCCCTTCTGGTGTCCTTATTATGGGTTTAGGGTTTTGGGTTTAGGGTTTGGGGTACTTCTCTAAGTTAGGGTCCCTTTTAGGGTTCCGTTTCATAAGGGTGCCCTACTGTATTGGGGACCTAAAAAGGGACCCCTAATTTAGAGAACTATCCAGGAGCAAGTGTGAATGTCTGTCCACCGAACCCTGAACCCCAAACCCCTAGCAACAAGACTGTCAGCAGAAGAACTTGGTGTACAAATTCGGAAGTCCGAGGTTTGAAGTTGCCTATCACGCCCTTTTTCTTTCCTGGGGAGCTGAGGTGGCGAAGCGTCACAGATCACACCCATGGCAAGTATTACTTCGACTCCGTCATCAATCCAAGCGTCTTTTGGGTGGACTTGGACAACATCGACTTCACAGGAGCCCTACACCCCTGAACCCCTAAACCCCAAACCCTAAACCCTAAACACTAAACTCTCAACCCCTAAACCCCTAAACCCTAAACCCTAAACCCCTAACCCCTGAACCCCTAAACCCTCCACACAGGAGGAGTGCAGCGCCTGCCTTGGCCGGAGGAGGACTTGGCTGGAGATGTCTCCAAGAAGTTTGTACCGTCCGAGCCCTTCCCATTCATTCATCCGCCTGCCCGGCAGCTGCACGTGTAATGCCTCTTTTTTTTGAGAATTCGAATGTGCCTTGTAAAGATTCGACTCCAAAGCGATCCCTACTTTTGATGGCAACTCCGACTCTCATGTCTAGTGAGGTTGCATATCTTGAAGCCGTTGTGCATGCAGGAATGTCACTTCTTGATGTTATGAAACCTTTTTTGTCTCTGGCAAGGACTTTCCCAATGCGGATGATGTAGAGACCAGTCCTAGGGACGAGGAAGGTTGTGAGCAAGCGCAAGCACAAGATGCGTACAACTGCCGGCTTTGCTTCTGCCTTGGAAGATTCGGGAGCGCAGGATCGCAAGGCCCCAAGGCCCATCCAGACACAAATTCTTCTGCTTGCCGAAACCCTAAACTGACGGCTCAGGAGCTATGGCAGCTACAGATCTTGATCCGCGATCCACACTCAAATATCTGTACGTGTCGGAATGCGAAGTCGCGAGAGTCACACTAGTACTATTGCTTACTGCTGTTGCAGCTACTCTCCACCACCACCCGCCACCACCACCACCACCGCCACCGCCACACCGCCCTCGCCGTCGCAGCAGCAGCAGCCCTTTTTCCAGCCTATTGGGACAGACTCTACAATCTAAATAAAGGACCTGAACCCCGTGTGAACCTGCGTGAATGAGACCCAAAGCCCTAAACTCTAAACAAGCACACTATCCGTAAGATCTTCCAGAGCCCCACCCCAATACCCCAAGTCCCAGTTGAGTGCAGGTAACTACACGGAGTTCATCAAGCAAAAAGAGCAGAAGATGATCCTCTGGAAGAAGAAGTGGGATCTGCAGGCAACGACCTTAAGAGAGTTAGAGATGGTCGATCTTGTGATTTGGGCCCATCTGTTAAAGTTGTCAACTCTACAACTCTACATCAAACACCCAAGGAGAACTCGAGGCCAGGGAGGCTGGTGTGCCCGAAACCCCATACACCTCGAAACGCATGCACAGGGCTCGGGATTTTTGTGTCTGCATTTTCTGGCTTCCGGGCTTCGGGACCTCCGAGCCGGCACCATGCCGGGAGTTGGGATTTGAGGTTTGATATATTGTTCATTTTGAGGTTTGATATTTTGTTCAGTGTAGTTTTTGGCTTGGGGGTTCAGCGCGCTTCTTATGTGGACTCTTTATTTCTTACTTTGAGAGGAAAACAGCTCTCTGTCCCATCCTGAAGTCGTTCCATCATTTAGAAAGGCAAGACGAGAACCCGAAGTTTCAGGCGTTTCTTTGCAAGGTCTGTGGGTTGAAAGCTGCAAGTTTCGTTTACAAACTCGATTTCATTCCAAGAAGACTTCACAAATTGTCGTCAGCGGCCCATGCTTTGCGCTCCTTGAGTGGTTGGGTCCATGGGAGCTGCAGGGTGGGTGCTTGGTTCAGGGCTGAGGCCTTGTGCTTTCTCATTGGCTTTAGGATTTAGGGTTTGGGGTTTAGGGGGGGTCCTTGGCCGGTTTACGGAAGTTGGAAGTCTTCACTGCCTTGAACAACCCTGAACTAAACCCTATAAGCCGCAGTGTTCAGGTAATGCCCGGCAGATGGCTAGAGGTTGCAGGCCTAGGTGTGTTTTGTTGGCAGACCCTTGATCCACGTGTCCGGTTTGCCATGTGGGCTGCATGAAAAGGCCAGTTAACCGTGCTACTTACAGAAAGTTTTATAGTTAAGTCCCTGCGAGAGCTGCACAAACGATGTGCGCGCCTGCCGCGTGCTGCATGGTAAAACTTGCAAAAATATCTCTTCAGTCTTGACGTTAGAAGCCAATATTGTGTGACCACACCTTTTGGGGAAACTGTTCGAGGTGAACATCTTGGACCGGAAAGTTTGCTCAGGAGAAGAAGAGCAAAACCAAGAACCTGTTTCCCAGCAGCCTGAAACTGCAAACTTCAGAAAACCGAAGCTCAACTCCCTAAGCCCTAAACCCTAACTCCGCAGATTTACATACAAAAACCCTTAAGTTAGACCCTTGTCTAACCCTCATGGAACTCTCTAAGGAATTCCCCAGCCCCTCAAAACCTCAAAACCTCCCAGGAAAAGAAGAGGAAAGAGCTGCAGGACTTCATCAAGCAGAACCGAGGTCGTCGGGTCTAATATTGGGTCCCCATCATTTATTCTGGAAAGGCTTCAGGGTTTAAGGAAGTAGAACAGTATTCCGTAGAGGGTTCAAGGTCTAAATTTTAGGGACTGTGAACAGTATTCTGCAAAGGGACTTGTAAGGCTTCATAAGGAGTTTGGAATGGCTGCCTCAATGATTCGAATAGGTTATGGCACAACTATAGTATAGAGAGGGACCGTAACAGGGGGATAGTATTACTAGTGATTACCTCCTTAGTAGGTCATTTGAGAAGAATTGAAAGGGAAACCCTACGCCCCACTTTGCACTTCTGAGGAAAAAAGCACGCTTAGAAGAAGGGGGCCTAGCTTAACCTGAGCTGTAGGCTATAGTATGTATATACACGTACTTATTTTTTGTATCCAAGCAAGACATAAGAGAGGAATCGGAGACAAGCACACATAGGAGTCGTAGCAGCAGCAGGAGTAGAAGTAGGAGTCGGAGTCGAGTAGGAGTAGGAGTTTGACTTGTTGTTGTCGTCGTCCTCGTATGTCCTACACACAAGATGCGAGGTACAGAGTACTAGGCAGTCCAGGTACCAGATACTAGTACTAGCTAATAGGAACTTAATGGTACAGGGAGTAAGTGCTTGGTATCAGGTAGCAGACGTGCTGTTCAGAGCCTTATTATATTGACATGCACATGAAAGTTTCGTTTTTGCCTACTATGTTGTGTGCAAGAAAAGGATGCATTTTTCATTCTATTTAGGGCTTCAGTTTAAAGTTGGCGGAGGGTGGTGTGCAAGGGTTCGTGCGAAGAAGAAGGTGAATCGCCTGTGTGCGCAGGCGTGCAATCTCTGGCGAACACCCGCCAGAAGAGAATGAAGGCCCGGCACCCATGGAGCTCGATGCCCCTGAGGCATCATGAGCATGTTACAAGGTGAACTGCTTAACCACGGGGTATTGGGTCTGAGACCTTAGCCGGAAGCCTCAAAACCACCGTAAAACCCATGTGCCCAAAAGCGTAAAGCCCTGAGCAGCCCCACGCTCCAATCCAACCGGCCCGACCTAATTTACCGATTTGAGCGGTTCTTATTCTCTCTGAAGAAATCGTGGGTACAGAGCATGCCTAAGGGGCCTACCGCCTCTAGCTTCCAGGGAAGCCCAGGCTCCGGATGCTTCGGTATGTCAGCCCTGTTGAGCGTATGCTTCTCGGGCTTCGGAGTGTTCTGTCACGCTTCAATGAGTCAAGGGCTCTAGGGCTTCATCTGGGAAATCTGCCGGAAGTATCAGAGCCCAGCATCTTAAGATGCGTGGAAGATGTATCCGAGATTGTGGAATGCAAGATTCATTATAGGAGTCGGAATCATTAGTAAGCGTGTTCCCTGCTAGTCCTTCCCCCAAACCCCGATTCTAATTTGAAAGGCCCCTTAGATTAGGTCAAAAGGAGTGCTAAAGGCCAACATGTCGAACAAAGTTCTGGATGCATGAAATGGAAACCCCATTAAGAAGAAAGCTCAACCCTGGCAGAACCACTTTGGGACCCTTCTCGAGCTCTATAAAGATCCTTTGAAGCAAGGAGTTGGAGGAGCTGACTCAGTGGGGAGCCCAGTATCTCGTGTACCCGAGGGCCCTAGCCCGACATGTGATTTTGTATTCGGGATTTAAATAGGCACAGTTGCTGCATGCACCCCATACATTCCCAAGGCACGTAAAGGCCGGCATTGCGCATTAATCCCACTATAGTCACTATAGCGATCCGTCTTTTCATTATGGTTATTCTCATGATCTTCTTTTTTATATGATTGTCACTATGGCTACTGCTAGTGCTACTAGTATCACTGCGACAATGTTTCTACAATTATACTTTTCAGTGTTTTTTGCTCCAAAGTCCCAGTATTGGTCTGACTACCGTCTTCGTCCGAGTCCTTGTCCTGGTCTCCGTCGCAGTTGGAGGGTTAGTGTTAGTCTTAATGTTAGTGCCAGTGTTAGTGTCAGGGCTAGTCAGGCTATTCTTAGTGATCGTTAGTACATCCGCGAACGCCAGTGTTGTTTTCAGAGTTAGTATAGTGTCAGTGTGAGTGCCAGCTTTATGCACTTAGTATTCGCATTCGTTCTCCTACTCATGCTTCTGTGGGAGTTTGGGCTCAAGGAGGCTTCGGGGCTCAGTGCAGCTCTTCCGGGTCTCATGGGCCCTGGGGCTTGGTTTTGAGGGTTAGGGGCTTTTTGGGTCGCTTTGAGGTTTAGGGGTTTAGGGTCGGGGCTGAAGTAGTATTCGGGGAAGACCCGAAACACAGTGCGCACCTGATTCATAGACAAGCCTCGAAAAAGAAAGGGGCTTAACGAATCACGGGTGTTTTTGTGACCTCTGCAAAACTCTGACAAAAGCCTTGGGGATTAGGGGTCTACCTTATTCTAGCGGGGTTGGGAGCGTGGTGTTGAACCCGACCTAACATACAGAAGGGTTCATGCACTTGCGCACTCCGAGCTCTGAGTCTTTGACCCTCAGGTTCTGCAGGCCCTATAACTTTTCTGGACATCATAACCTCAAGTGGCCAGGGTTCCTGAAACCTGACCTCCATTCATAACTCATAACCACCCTTTGTAGTGTTTCGGGTTACGGGGGTTGGGCTTTAGACACGTGAACCGTCAAGCATCCACTGAACCTTAGATGCACCAGCTATAAGTACATCTGATCTGGCAAGCCCTTTTACACCATCTCTGGATTCTTTCGAGGGCTGAAGGCTGCTACTTTGGGCCCGCGAGGTGGGACACCGACCCCGGCGCAACAAAGCCCGGCGAATGCACATTATTTCTCGAAACAGCTGTTGCCATTCACGGCGCCTCAATGGTCTAAAGCCTGACCATCAATCGTTTTATCACCTTGCAAACACCCAATACCATGTAAAGTCTAAGGTTTGTGGGCACTATTTACGACTCAATGTCCTGAAAGTGGGG